ATTTAGGAAAAACGTGCTTACGATATAAAAACACATCTTAGGATGCAAAAGGCTTCTTCCTCGAGCAAACTGCTCTGCTCCGTTGGTGTTCGTGCGCATGCAGTTTGGGTTTTGAGCCGTTACCTGCAGCTGATGAGCTCCAAAAAGAGCGAAACCAGTTAGGTCCTGCAGTACTGGCTACAGTCTTTCTTCAAGGAGCTTCTGGTGAGGAAGACTGGAGAATGTTCAGTTGCCTTTTTCAATTTCCGTAACACCAAAAGATCTGTGGGACTGTTTCGTTTAAGGCAGACATGGCTGTGTTGCCTGTGTCTACCTGCTGCTTTCCATTCCTTCTGCTCATCATCTCACTGGCTTTAATCACCAGTTTCAGCAACGTTTGAAAAAAAAAAAAAAAAAAGAGAGAAGTCTGAAAGATGAGATTAATGCATCGGTAAAACAAATCATAATGTTCTATGAATTTCAATATTGCCATCTTTGTTTGCTTAATATTTTACTCACAAGTTGAAAATGGGGTGTCAGACTCTGCGTGTACACAGTATTGCCTTTGTCTTAGTTTTCCCAGATCTTGATGACTTAGTTCTTCCTTTAAAGAGACGATCCTTTTCTGCTCTTTTATTTTTTGTGTTTTGTTTTGTTTTTCCTTACCTATATCTCTATTTTATCTTTTGCTGTGTTTTATCTGTCTTTCCCTTTGGACAGTTCACTGGCAGATTCAAACGGAAGCTGGAGTGGGGCAGAAAAGCTGCTGATTCCTTAAATATGAGTGCTGGAGATGGACATTAACCCTAAATATGAGTGCTGGAGATCATAGAATCATAGAATGGTTAGGGTTGGAAGGGACCTTAAAGATCATCCAGTTCCAACCCCCCTGCCATGGGCAGGGACACCCTCCACTACACCAGGTTGCCCAAAGCCTCATCCAACCTGGCCTTGAACACTTAATGGGCATTAACCCTGTGTTCTGTAATGAAGTTGTGATTAGTAGTTCCAGTCAGACTGACACTATTACCAGCTTTATTTATGAGCAGGTGACTACACACCGATTTTATTGTGTTTTTTTCAGCTTCTCCTGTGTCCGTACAGTTGCACTCCCCACATGTGTACCTGTACTTTCTGGGAGACTGAACAATCCTGCAAATCCTACAAATACACTTCTCCTTACCTTACTCTGCCTCTGGCATCTGACAGGTCCTTCTAAAAGATGGTATCTGAAAGATTGTTCTGTTCTGTTCTGCGTTCTGCTCTGTTCCAAGTGTTACACCTGTTGAAATTGCTGATTTCAATTCCCAAGGGATGAGAAAAAGGAGTTTCCAGCAGGGTTACTGACAAAAATTAGGTCACGAGAAGACAGTTAGTGCCAGAGCTGGTGTGAAGGCATGCACAAGACTAAACAACTGGCAACAGTGAGAGAAGAGTTGAAAAGAAGGTGGGAAAAAGAAGTAAGACCACCTCCTCTTAACAGAAATATGAACGTTCTTACAGTGATTCAGCAGCCTGTGGAACTACAATTTCAAAGTACCGAAAGAAAAAGATTTATTATCCCGTTAGGACATCCTGCCTGTACAAAATCGGTGTGTAAAATTGCAATAAGAAGATAATTTTGTCTCAACTTGAGCCCTTCTTTAGAGGAGCGGTGTTGGTAGACACCATAATCTCCCCAATATTCTTCTCCATTTCGTGTGTAGTTACAAACTGTGATTTGGGCAAGTGATGCTGTTACCCTGAGCTGCTTTTTATTAATGTTTTTGTGACACTCAACTTACGTGACGATTGTTAGCGGAGCTTATAGCAGCATTGCATCATTATTCTAAATACTGTTTGTGCTAACAGTATGGTCAAGCAGTTGGGTACAACCATGAGAGTTGGACTTGAGTCTTTTCAAGAGCTTCTTCTGTCCCAGGGCGTTAATTAGTAAAGCTACAATGTTGATTTCTGCCTGGCTGGTTTGTCTGCCAGGGTACAGGGTGGATGTGCAGGAGTCTGGTTTCTGTAGCTTCTGAAGACAGTCGCTTTGGGGTCAGAGTGATGTCATGTATGGCAATTCCTATCTGGAAGTTGTTTCATTTTTCATACACGGAAGGTCTCAAAGAAACCAGGTGGCCACATTGAAACAGTGACTTTCTGATAACTGTTGTCTGGCATCCCTAGAGAAGGATGGATGGTGCTATAGCAATGAAATGAGTATATAGCTGTTCTTTACAGATGTAGGATGGTGACTCTGTCTGCGTCTTCAGTTTTCATGAGTTCTCTTGTCCCTCATCTGTGAGATGTAGATGAATGGGTGACAGGATTTGCTTTGTGGGTAGTAGAAAGGGAAAATGTGAAGTGAATCAGAAGAAAACTCGCTGCTGGGATGAGGGACGTTGTAGCAAATTCATTCTCGGTCTCAGAGAAATTGTGCAGTATCTGTGCTCTTGGGAGAAAAGATCTAAAGTTTGGTAAAGGATGTTAGAAGAACGAAAATAAAACATCTAAATTGTTGCTTTGTGAGGTTTGGGGCATTGTTTTACGTAATGCAGACTTTGAATTTCCATGTAAGGTATTCTCAATAGACCTGCCCTTTTTTTCATGATCATTAAAATTATAAGTAGCTGGTGTTCATGGAAAACCAACTTATTTTCAGGTTAGATTTGTGTTTATTCTCTTAGGGTCATTATTTCATAGAATCATAGAATGGTTAGGGCTGGAAGGGACCTTCAAAGGTCATCTAGTCCAACCCCCCTGCAAGGAACAGGGATATCTCCAACTAGATCAGGTTGCTCAGGGCCTCGTGATCTAGTTGGAGATAGCCCTGTTTCAGTGCCACATCTGTCATGGTTTACTCATGGTTGAAATTAATTTCTGACTGTAAATAGAAGAAAGTGATGCTGCTCACTACAGTACTGGGACTGTGCTCTCTAAAATCTTGCATTTGACTGTTAACATGCTTCACTCTCCAAAAATACATTATCCAAAAGATGATCAAATTGTGAGACTGTAGAAAACAGGATTGTGGCACTATGATTTACACGGCGTAAAGAGTAACTGGCAAGTTGGAACTCGTGATTTAAATTGCAGGATAAAATAAAATCCTTAATGGCGTGGTACAAACCGAAACATCAAGGCCTGAGACTTTTCAAATCTAAGTTAAAATGAGAGTCTTCCATCTTTGGTGCAGTAAATAATTCTTCTGACTCTTC